TGCATTGGGTCTTCATTGCTGCCTGCGGGCTTTCTCTAGTTGTGGCGAGCGGGGGCTACTCTTTGTTGTGGTGTGCAGGCTTCTCATTGCAGTGGCTTCTCTTGTTGTGGAGCATGGGCTCTAGGCACGTGGGCTTCAGTAGTTGTGGCACACAGACTCAGTAGTTGCGGCTCACGGGCTCTAGAGCGCAGGCTAAGTAGTTGTGGTGCAGGGGCTTAGTTGCTCCGCGGCATGCGGGATCAAACCCATGTCCCCTGCATTAGCAGGTGGATTCTTAACCACTGCGCCACCAGGGAAGCCCCAAGCCATGACTTTTTAACGTGCATTCTGTCGAGGACAACTTAGATGTCGATTACATGTGTAATTGTGTGTATGTTAAATGTAGTTATCAAGCGGATGATAATAGGCTATTAAAATAAGTTGTAAAGTTCATAAAAGTCCATGCAGCTTATCTGATAGTGAGAGTTTCTTTACTGCTGCTGCTGATAAAATCTAAACCAGTGGGCTTCACACTTTGGCATACGTCAGAACCACCTAGACCATGGCTAGTTAAGTCAGGTAGCTGGGCCTCACCACCTCCCCTCCCCAGTTCTGCTTCAGTATTTCTGGGGTGGGACTGGAGAATTTGCATTTCTAACAGATTCTCAGGTGACGCTGCTGCTGCTGCTCTGGGGACCCCACTTTAAGAATTACTGGTCTAAACAAAGAGACTTGAAGTGTTGGGTTTTTTTCATTTGTATCAGGCCAAACTAAGCTTAGTACACTCTGTTAAAAGGTATAAGATATGGGAGCTCTTAAAAAAAATCCATTACTCTTTTAATGCTGACCTAATAGAGCTAGGACATGCTGACCCTACCCTGAAGAAACCCTGGGCTCAAAGATGGGTGAACAGAGTAGCTGAGGAGCTCTGGGGACAAACAAGAAGGGAAAGGCCATGACTGTAACAGTGTGCTTTTTGTCAGAGGCCTTGTATGTTCTCTTTAGTTCCTGTATTCCAAACTAGAAGAATGTTTTGATATAGCTCCCCTTCATGGAGGTCCAGTGTGACCCAGCACATAGCTCAATGAGCAGGACACATAAACTAATATTTATTAGTGAACAGGGTGGCCCAGAATTACCAAGAGTTCTTAGGAACCTGTATATCTCCCGGTACCAACACATACTTTTCACAGATCTGCCTTGGAAGAACTTCCATTTTACATTGCTTTCTTTGTTTCCATAATGTTTAAACTTTAGATATTTATAGCACGGTATGCAATCTGAAGAAAAATGTACATGGCATCTTTCGTGTTCAGACATCAGTTCTTTCACTACATCAAAATACCAACTATACTAAGAGTGATTTTTAAACAAATGTATCAGGGCATACGGTCAAATGGGGGCCATTCTTCAAACTAATCACCTTCAGAAACTATAAATTTAATCCATCAAGACTTCCAGTGTTCAAAATGATTTTTAAACTACTGCCCTGAAATTGTTTCATGGCTCCATTTGTAAGTCATACTAGAAAACTGGTGCCTTAACTCAATTGTATACCTTGTTTACAGCCAAGAACAGAGTTATCCAGCTAAATCACCTGACTTTCTGACAAGACCTGGCAAAAAATATGATGTTTAGCTTTTTCCAAATATCAGATCTTACATCAGAATATAAAGATTCTGTTGACTTTGAGGGATTTAAAAAGGATTCACCATAGATTAATTAGACAAATTCCAAAGATAATTACTAAAAATATTTTTAGCTATGATAGGCATTTTTTAAATAAATGTATGGGTCCTTCAAGGAATAGATCAAATATACTCTACTCCACAAAGTTCTCCCTAATCTTCCTCCTTTCTCTAGGTTGGAAGTAAGTTCATTTTCCTTTGGATATAAACTATTCCTTATCTTAACATTTCTGATGATAGAAACCCTTCTACCTTTTAGTAGAATTGTACTTTTCCTTCTATAACATCTTTAAAGGAAAGAGTATGACTCCCCCTTGTCAATTAACAGTGTCTTATATTTATTCTTTTATTACATAAATATTTATTCCAAGTACTGGCAATATAGCAGTGAAAAAGATAGACATTCCACGAGAATAGACTCTCTAGGTATGGTGCCTGGGCCGGTAGCATGAGCGTCAGCTTAGAAATGCAAAATTTGGGACCCTACTGCAAACCTACTGCATCAGGGACTTGTGTGTGTGTCTGTGTGTGTGTGTGTGTGGGTGTGTGTGTGTGTGTGTATACGTATAGTTTTAACAAGTTCCCCAGGTGATTCTGTGATGCAGCCTGATGTTTGAGGACCACTGAGCTAAAAGGGAGACAATCATAGATAGGTAGATAGTTACTTTGTCTTCTTTGCCACTGTATCCTCAGTCCCTAGGATAGAGCTTAATTAGCACAGGTGGGTGCTTATTATATGTTGAATAGATGATGGGAGTGACGTTAGAGTTCATTTTACATAAGAAGAAACCTGTGGCATTAAATAGCATGCCCCAAATCAGAATGGAGACCTCCTGTCAGGACCCTTGTCATTTTATTTTAGGTCAGTGATAATTCCTCCAGGTTATTATTTGATAAAATAGATATGTAAATAAAGTGTGTAGAGATGGAAGAGAGTGATAAGATCTAGCTCATCAGGGAAGACTTCCTGATGGAGCTGGGATTTAAGGGATGGGTTATAATCTAGTATGTACGAACAGAAGATCCAGAGAACAAGCCAGGAGCTTGGAATAGCCAAGACATGAAATTGGAACCTGGTGTTTTGGATGCCCTCAGAGGAAACCAATAGAGAGTTAGTGAGTAGTGTGGTAGAAGATTGCCTTTTGGATCAGATTACAAAAGGTTTTGAAGATCAGATTCAGAAATGTAAACTTGATTTAAGAGTCACTAGACTTTCTCTCATCT